TTTTTATGTTACAGTTCAACACCACTGATAGAGAATGCTTAATAAACAACAGTTCATGGAAGTCTGGTTTACTTTTAGTGCTTTCAAAGAAGATGTGGAAACTCTCAGATATTTTGTACACTTTAAACACATTTTGTTCTCCTTGAATGAAGTTGGCGTCTTGGTTTCTGTTTCCATTGCTTGTTCCTGTTCAGACCTGCTGGCTGCGTTGAAGTCGTCAAGATTTAGAGAGGAAGCTGACCCCCCTCACCCCACAGTGAAATAGGATACAAAAGTAGCAGTTTATAGAAATGATCTATTGTTACATATACACTCTGGGATTTTTGTTTGATAAGCATATGTTTACTTTACAACACGGATACATGCCAAGAATAAATTTCCACAAAACGTCAATGAAAGCTGAAGGAAAGGGATGGGGTCTCCACCCATGAACGTGTGATGTGCTTGGGGAGGAGGCAGGACTTTGGCCTGCTCCAAGTTTTCAAAAGGATCTAGATGAGAGTGGATCAGTGGTCTTCAAACTTTTCAACATCTCGTCCACAATAAAGGCAGGAATAAACAACCCATCTATTGTAGGTTAGATTACAAATATGCTATAACTAAAGGGCGTAATGACAACACAAACTCCGTCAGAAACCATTAAATGACTACAAACCCATATTTTGACAGCATTGGTTTAGCTTGTAGAAAGACAAGAGTCTGAGAGCTGCTGCAGGAAGCTGAGCTTTCATTCATGTGTTTCCTCTGTGAAGCTAAAAGAACAAGGAGTCAACCTATCTTCGATTTAATCTTTGTCAAACAGCCCATCCTGGAGACTGGCTGCAGCACTGCAGTGGTGCGATTTAATTGTCCTGCATCTGAGATACATTGAGACTTCAGCTGGCGCTCACCTGAGACTCTTAGTACCTTATTTTCAGTTACAGAGATTCAAACAGACCTGTCAACTCTGAAGAAGGACCATTTTCTATACAACAACTTGAAAACTTGTCCTTTATGAGGGATGTCCAGAATTTAAGGGATTACTAAAATTAAAATTTCTCATGTGTTGCAGCACAAATCAAGTGAACAAGTGATTAACTGATGCATTTGGAATTGTTTGGTGAAAATTAGGGGCAGCACGGTGGCGCAACTGATAGAGCTGCTGCCTCTCAGCGAGCAGGTCCTTGGTTCAAACCCCGGTCCAGGGGCCTTTCTGGGTGGAGTTTGCATGTTCTCTCCATGCATGCGTGGGTTTTCTCCGGGTACTCCGGTTTCCTCCCACAGACCAAAAACATGCATGTTAGACTGATTGGTAACTCTAAATTGTCCCTAGGTGTGAGTGAAAGAGTGAATGGTTGTTTGTTTCGTTTGTCTCTATGTGTCCCTGTGATGGACTTGCGACCTGTCCAGGGTGTACCCCGTATGCTGGACATGGGCACCGGCAACCCCCATGACCCAAAATGGAAGAAGCGGGTAAAAGATAATGGATGGATGGATGGAATTACCTTTGAAAAAACGGAATTGCCTTTAAAAAACCTGAATTACGTTTGAAAAAAAAAACGGAATTGCGTTTGAAAAAACCTGAACTACCTTTGAAAAAACGGAATTAACTTTAAAAAAAAAAAACTGAATTACGTTAGAAAAAAATAGAATTGCGTTTGAAAAAATTGCGTGAGTGCATCTACAGCGTGCACTCTCAGGATATTATTACCTGCAGTGTTCCCTCAGTGCAGACTGAACTTGGCTCCTACTCCGCTCCGGTTTCCTGGAATATCTTATAAAAAGATCTGAATCTCTCGACCTTGATCTCTCTATGTGGTTTTAAGAATCTGTTGGACTCCTAGCAAGGACCAATGCAGATATGTTCCGGTTTTAAGTTTTCTACATTTGCCTTATAATCTAGCTGCTGCTTGCAACTTTTTTGCCATCTTATTTTAATTTGTAAAAAAAAAAAAAAATTAATAAATTTGTATTCTTTTAAAATTGTCTCTTGTTGTCGTTTTTCTCCATTGTTGTCATCATTCTTTGTTGAAATCGGGTCTCTTGTAAATGAGTCCTCGAGGCTCAATGGAATTAACCTATCTAAATAAAGGTTGAATGAATGGGGGAAAAAAGATTTGCATTTGAAAAAAAAACAAAAAACAAACGGAATTGCATTTGATAACACGGAATTACCTGAAGCCAAACCATAAATTGTGTTTTTTTTTTTTTTTAGATTCTCAATTAAAAAGCAACTGAACAAATGGTACATGGGCCTCACACCCTACACAAGAGTTTGTATTTGTATCTTGTTACTGTACGTTGTTCTATATTGTTAATGAAGTAAAAAAAATCACTTACGGTTTGGTTTAATGCAATTCATTTTTTTTTCAAATGTTAATGTTTTTGTTATGTTTTTTTTTTTTTTTTCTTCAAATTTAATTTTGTTTTTTGAAATGTTGTTCATTTACACCTCAGGGCTACCGTAGGAAAGTACTAGACAAAAGATGTATTTTGTTCCTTGTCTGTAAAATCACTGAACATGGAATTTCCCTCAAAAGTAGCTAACTGAGAACGTTCCCTTTATTTAAACACATCTTTACTCATGTTGACATTTTAAAGCTTAGAGGACCGGTTGAGTCTTGGCAGCAGAAGTGTTTTTATCCCAGCAGGAATTTTTGTTGTATTTATATTGCCAGCAGCAGAAGGCAGTCGTAAAATTGAAAGTGAAACAGTTTATTCTGACATTTCTTCTACTTAGACCTGCAAAAGGCAATTTAGCAGTGGTTCTCTTTCTATTTTCCTCCCCAGCTCTGAACAGACACAAGAAAACGTGAGAATAAATTGCTTTTCATGGTTTGGCACCAGGTGATTTTCAGGACTTGTCACAGGTCCTTTTTTCAAATTTACCAGTAACTCACTTTCAAAATGACCTCTGGTGAAATTCAAACAAAATTTTGATCTTTTACCCATTTGGTTTAGTATCTGTCTCTAAATAAAATGCAACCAATTATAAAATAAATACTAAAAAGGTAAAACATGGCGCATTTTAACAAAGCTGGTTGTATCGGGGCAGCACAGTTAGTAGAGCTGTTGTCTCTCAGAGAGAAGGTTGCTGGATTTAATTCCACAGAGGCTTGAGGAGTTAGCATGTTATCTCTGTGCATGGGTTTACTCCGGGTACTTTCCTCCTGCAGAACAACAACATGCATGTTAGGCTGATTGGTAACTCTAAATTGTAGGAGTGAATGGTTGTTTGTCTCTATGCGGCCTGTCCATGGTGAACCCAGCTTCTCACACCATGGCTGCTTGACATACACAACAGCCTGGACAGTTCCTGGGCTGTTGTCCTGGTCTGATTTGGACTAGTTTGTGAACTCTTGTGTGTTCTCGGGCATTATGTCTTGAAAGGTTTTTATTATTATTATTGTTATTTCCCTTTGTCCTGATTCTTCCCACCTCCCTCCTGTTAGTGTATATTTTGGTTTGGGACTTCTGGTGCTGTCCTTGAGAGGGAGGATACTGTCAGGATCTGTGTTTTATGTTGTTTATTAGTATAGTAATATTTCATGTTAGTATTGATTATTTTTTTTGTTGTCGTTGTTGTTAATTTATATAAATAATATGTAATATTGGATCATTTTCCTCAATACATAAATGACAAACTATAATATTTTTGTCTCATTTGTTTAAATGGGTTCTCGCTATCTACTTTTAGGACTTGTCTGAAAATCTGAAAATGTGTTGGATCATATTTATGCAGAAATATAGAACATTTTAAAGGGTTCACAAACTTTCAAGCACCACTTTAGGTCTTTTCATGGACGGGTGAACTGTGATGGTCCACCTCCCTCACAAAATTAAGTCTGGGAAAGTCTGCATCAACCCTGCATGGAACAAGATGGGTATGAAATAAAAAAAAAGGTAAACAAATTCTCATATTACTTATTTACTATAGCATTTTGTTGGTTTTGTCTTGTTTCGAATTCCTTTACGAAGCAAAACTAAATCACAGATAAGCTCATTTTGTGCTCTATGCTTGTGTGACCCACAACATTAGAGAAGTAGAATTTGGTGAGTTTTTTTTATTTTAATACTTCATACCATAATTTTAGAGAAGTTGTCATAAGACAAATAAAAGGTCATATATAAACATTAGTCTTAATTTGAAAGAACTTTTCTTTCATTTTGCTATAATCTATACATTATCCTAAATATTATCTATTGTGACATATGACTAAAATACATTATATTCTGATGTTGGTCACTTCACATTAAGAACATCTCTGAGGGTTAATCTGGTCTTTTTGTGTGTAGTTTGGATGTTCTCTCTTTGCATGTGTGGAGTTTCTTTGATTGTCCAGCTTTGTTATGATTTTTTAAAACATGCATGTTAAATTACATGGTAATTTTAAACTGACCATTGTGTGGGTGAACATGCTGCTTTGACCTTATAATGGACTGAAGTACCCCGCCTGTCCCCAGCTAGGACAGTGAAAGACTTCATCTTTCTGCACCAAAAGTAGCTACAAAAATGAATAAACTTGGCTAAATACATTTTTCCCAGCATTAGTAGTAGTAGTTTCCCAGCATTCCCAGTAGTAGTAAGATAAAATGTGCTTTGTAGCTTGTTGGTGTATCACTATTTTGCTCATTTATTTAAGCATTTACGTTGACAAACTTTTATTTTGCTTTTATGATATTAATGTTAATTTATATTTTGTCCCCATGGGTCTTGGAAAAAGTGAAAAATCACACTTCTTCTTAGATACAAGCACCATTTTCTCTTCCTGTTCTCAGATTTTTTTGTTTGGGAGGGAAGCAACAAAGTTTCATCCAAATTCTTAACTGGGTCTTTAAGTTGCTGCAAATGGACTATTTATTAATCAGTCCGAAAAAAGTTGTATAATTTTATTAAGAAGTTAATTAACAGCTTAAGTAGCAAAATAAAAATTTGAGCTTTTTCACTTTGTTTTACAAATTGTTTTAAACACATCATAGATGTTAGAAATTACATTATGTCTAAAAAAGAACTTGGAGTTGTTGGCCCCAAAATGACCATTTTAAAGACTAAAAATAAAAATGTAAAATATAAACATTTTAGTTTCTGTTCTAACTTCTAAAAAATAATGTAAAACATTCTGTTTGTCTATGATGGAGGACACTGAGTATAAAAACTACTTTGTCTTGAATGACCTGATAGATGACCTAAAAAATGCCAATTATTCTTTTGATGACAACTATTGTTAAGAAGGAGATATTTGTGACTTGACCGAGAGGATGAGTTTTGAATCCGTCTTCATCACAGTCCTGTACTCGTTGGCATTTGTTGTGGGTATTCTGGGAAATGGATTGCTGCTGGGAGTCCTGTTTCAGAGCAGGAAGACCTGGAGCGTGACAGACACCTTCATCCTTCACCTGGGGATTGCAGATAACCTCATGCTGGTGACTCTGCCCCTCTGGGCTGCACAGTCTGCTAATGAGAAAGGATGGACTTTTGATAACTCACTCTGCAAAATTTCTGGAACTGTTTTTTACGGTAAGATGTGAACAAAAGGAAAAGCTGAAAAAGCAACAAGTTCTCTATAACTGAGTTCCCTTTTTTTTTAAGATCAACGTCTACTGTCGGATTTTTCTCCTGGCCTGCATCAGTTTGGACCGTTACCTGTCCATTGTCCACGCTACTCAGATGTACACTCGCAGGAAGGCCTGGGTCGTTCAGGCCAGCTGCTTGATGGTGTGGTTGCTGTCTATGCTCCTCTCCATCCCTGACTGGATCTTTTTAGAAGTTGTGACAGATGTCAGACAAAAGAGAGACGAGTGTGTTTGCAATTATTATAAATTTGGTCTCCAGTACTCTTCCACCTTAAAACTAGCAGCACGAGGTTTGTACCACGCAGTGGGCTTTCTGCTCCCTTCAGCTGTCCTGGTCTTCTGCTACTCCTGCATCCTGTGGCAGCTGTGGTGTGGCACCCAAGGCCTCCAAAAGCAGAGAGCTTTCAAAGTCATTATAGCTGTGGTGGCAGTTTTCTTTATCTGCTGGACTCCATACAATATCACACTCATGGTGGATACAGTTCAGCAAGACGACGGTAGTACTTCATGTGAAATGAACACATCTCTGGACAAAGCTCTG